ACGGTGTGGATCGTGGATGCTGTCGAGTCAAGTCGAGTGTCGGTCGCTGGGAATCTTTTTGGAAATGGTGCCAGCGCATCCATCAAAACTAGCAGAAACAACTCTAGCGCCAAACTTTTCATTAATTGACATTATTTCAGATCAGAGTTTGTTTATCTCCTGGTTTTGTTTTGATGGACGCGCTACTACATATTTCCAAAGATTTCCAGCAAAATATTTTTGCTATTGGTGAGACAAATAACTTCCCATGGCTAATAAAACACTTGGCTGATTCTGGCAAGAATTTTTTTGTTCTGAGACAAACGCTTTCCTATTTCAGGAAACATTTCTAATAACAACAACAAATATCTTTTCTGTCTTAGCAATCTACTTTTCAATAGCAAAAAAGGATGTTTTTGAGGGTATATAACCTATTTTCTAGGACAGCAAAGTTACTTTCCTACGACAGCAAAGTAGCTTTTCTATGCCAGCAAAGTGACCTTGTAGAAACTGTGAGTAAATTCTTTATAAAGTCACTTTGCTACCGCAAATAAACGGTGCCAGTAAAGTTATCTTTTCGGCGGTAGTAAAGATCTTGGCTGTCCCCTATGTAGCCAAAATTTTTAGCTACGGCAGCAGAAAAATTAGCTATGACAATGAAAAAATGTTCTCAGTGAAGATGGTGTTATTCCAAATGGGTATTAAAAATACTATACCTACACTCCTACACAGGTGAATGTAAATAAAACAAAAACGTATGGCTGAACCAAATCCAAGTGGCAGCAAATGACAAACTGGTCATTTTCATTGCAACCTATCAAATATCCTCCGTGCATGCGCACTGGTCCAGGTAGGATGTTTCAACCATTAGGAAGGCTGGTGTTTTGTTTGCTTACAATTTGGGTTATTTAATATCATTTATGTCCGATTGACCAATAAATTGCTATTTATAGGACAGTTTTCCGTCAATAAAGTAGCACTTTATTGTACTAGTAAAATAAAGTGCTACTTTATTTTACTAGTAAAATAAAGTGCTACTTTATTGCCTACCGAGACTACCTGATAAGGTGAAACAGGTCCTGACAACCTGCCTAGGTGAAACAGGTATACCTACGCGAATTTTACTTTTTTCATTCAATTTTTTTAATTTTTAACAAAAACCAGTCTGAATCGTACATAAAATCATGTATATATAACGCTTACATAAACAGGCTTTATTGACTCATTATTTAATAGCCTCGCTCGCAAGCTCGCTCAGCCATAAAATTATTCGTACAATAAAGCCTTACTTTATGTACTTGTTATATAAATAGCTATTACTGCCGCTTGGATGTGGAAATGGTGTAGATCTAAGATCTAAAAAGCGGCACTATTTCCAATTTAGGTAGCTGATTTATTTACCATTCACTTCTGTAAGAAAAAGGAGCTTATAGAACAATACAGACAACGCCACAGCCCAACGATACGCCTCAGCTCACAGCCTACCTAACAACATAACTATATAGAAAGGCTTGCGCATTGCGCATCGATCTCACTGTACGGAATCGGGTTTGGAGTCATTCCAGAAGAGTTCCAAACTGCGTAGTGTAGCGAACTGTCCCGATTGACCTTGACGCAATTCAAGAAAAGAAAATGACGTCATTTACAAACGTAACGGACTAAAGTTAACGGAAGTCCAATATAACGGAAGTTAAGGAAACCGTTAATATTGTTTAGGTTAATATAAGTTAAATTTATGAATTTTTTTAACTTCGTTAATTAACGGATATAACGGATTAACGGTTCTCTGCCCAGCTTTGGTTATATGTTATATTTAGGCGTATTTTAGCGAGAGTTTTAACCCAGTAGTATGTTGTATTTACTTGGGATACTACATTTTAGCGAGCATGGCTAACATACTATGACGTCACAACATAAAACACAACATAAAACTCGGCTGTAAACATGTAAACATCCTAGGAGGGATAGTTACTGGTTGTAGTATGTCAGTGCATCTTTTTCTAATACACAAAAATGAGCATATGGGCAAAACATCAGCTGATTACGCTACGATTACCAACACAGTTCTTTCCATTATAAATAGAGGATTGTTTTTCCTCATTTTGCCATGGTTTTCTGTGATTTTATTTTAGAGTTTTTTTGCAAAAAAAATTAAAAATCTTCACTTGTGCACAAAAGTGTAATTTGATTTTTTTTTGGCATAGGGTACCCATAAAATTCAAAAATACCACAATCTATCGAAAATCTTCACTGGAGAAAATATTGAAACTCGAAAACGCTAAATTTTACAAAATTCAACAAATCCAAATAAACAACGATCATGGCGTCCTCTCTTAGACCCTTTGTCAAATACACTCCACCTGTTATTTGGGTAACTATGACGTCATGAATCGTAGTATGTGTAGTATGATGTTTACCTGTCGCTAAAATACGCCTTTTGTTGCAAGCTAACACAAAAACCCTTTTCATGTGGCTCCGGTTTAACAAACCGCAACAAACCGCTCAAATTCGAGTGGTAGGTATCCATCACGTCACTTTGTAACCGGGTTAGAAAACGGTATGTCATTTTCTCTAACCGTTTTGTAACCAGGTTAACTAACCGGCGCCACGTGAAAAGAACTAAACTACCTATATAGAAATATTTATAGTAGAATACAGTTAACTTCGCCTGAATCAATGGGTACATTCAGGCGGTGCCAGCGGCTTAGTTCAGCCACTCAGCGGGAACTTTATTCTCGAAACAGGGGAGCAGGGACCCAATTCTTGAATAATCTCGCATACGAAAATTTATATGATTTCGAACGTTCTCTATTCAATTTACATTGCTGTCATTCGAATTCGAATCAACTTTCGTATGCGAGAATATTCAAGAATTGACCCCCTGGTGTTCTCATTGGAACGAAGGTTCTGTCTTTGTCGTCTGACATAACACTGACAATGACAGAGCAATTGTTCTTATGAGAACGCTGTTCCTTGGTTTTGAGAATAGACTCCCTGCTGAGTGGCTGAGCTTAGCCGCTGTGACCGCCTGATGTACCCAATAACTTTATAGCTCTCACTAGAGATTAACTACAAAATTATATACTTATTATTTATTATCTTATCTGATACTCAAACATATGTTTCAAATAAGCTAATCAATTATTGTGCAATGCCTTTTTCTCAAATACATAAAGCATAAATATGGCAAATAAATCCTTTTTTAGTAAATAATTATGATTTACTTAATTAGAAGTTAGAACATTACACTATAGTATAGGTAGTAGGTATGCCTGATGATACTTCAAACCTGTACTCCAAACAAAACCAAAAACAACCTCACATTTTCATTTTTGTGACGAATGCACATGTCGAGTCACATTTCGCCGGACATTCCAATGCGGCGAAATTCGACCAAGCGAGGCGCACTCCGGGTTTTAACTTAAAACATTTATGAACGGAATGAAGATGACAGAAAGAACGGCTCGATTGATTTATGAACGATAATCGAGCAATTAATCACACAGAGCGTCTTTTGTGTGTATTTTATGAACGCACTCCTACTCTGGTCAGAGAGAAACCACACCCTGACAACAACATCGGTATTTTGGCAGCGTTGCCACTTTTGGTACATTTCTACTTTTCTGGTAGATTTTCAGCTTTTCTTGTAAAATGTTAAGGTGGGTTCGGCTTGCTCACTCCGTGCACTCCGAGTGACTCCATTTGCACTCCAGCCGTTCGGGTTAAGGTTTGGGTAATGCTTTTTACCGTATTAGGGGTGACGACTCCATTAACTCTGTTCACTCCACTCCAACTCCGCGCTGAATAGCCGAACCCAGCTTTAGTAGACAGAATTTCTAGTAAAAAATCTAGTAGATTCTGGTATTTTTTACTTTGTTACATTCAGTCTATAAAATAGGATAAAAATCCTAATATCGATTGTGGAAAACTTAATTCAAATCGAAAAACGGAACATGCCCAATGTATTTTATTACGTAATGTAATGTCTTGTTTTGAAATTTATTCCCTAATATCGTTTTTTATCTGTAGAACCCGTACGACGCTAATTATTTTCATGATAATTCCCAAAGTCAAAAATTCACACATATGCAAGTTGGCCATATTTACTGAACTGCAAATTTGCAGATGCAAATATACTGTAATTTGGCCCTATGTTGGCAACACAATAAGCCTTTCCTACATAAAAAATTTGAAAGCAATTGACAATTTTACATTAGTTCTTTTCACGTGGCTCCGGTTTAACTAACCGGGTTACAAAACGGTTAGAGAAATGACATACCGTTTTCTAAAGTTAACTTCTAGAATTACATGTAATTCAAAAAGTTAACTTCAAGTTAACTGTCAAAGCAGTTTTATAATACCCACCCTTAGGGCGGGTATTATAAAACTTCTTTGAGAGTTAACTTAAAGTTAACTCCTGGAATTACATGTAATTCAAAAAGTTAACTTCAAGTTAACTGTCAAAGCAGTTTTTAATACCCGCCCTAAGACACAGCCTCAGATTATGTATTGCCAACAGTCATTTTGACTTTTACCTTTAAAAAAAACAGCCCCCGGATTCTATTTTACGAGTCGAGTCGAATTGTCTCGATATCGAATACGACAGCTCCGGACGTACCGTGTAAAGCCTAGTACTCATAACTGCGAAATTCGCATTTTTTTGACATTGCGTTGACAATTTGACGTTTTATGCGTGTATCAAACGTCAAATTGTCGAAGCAATGTCAAAAAAATGCGAATTTCGCAGTTATGAGTACTAGGTGGTACTAGGCTTAATACTTATGGAAAAATCGAAAAATAGAATCGCTATTTTGACAATTCGATACGAATTTCGACTCGACTCGTAAAATAGAATCCGGCCTCAGACTTTAGATTAAAAGTGGATTTTTGGTATTTTTCAAAATTGCTTTAGTAGATTTTTAGTAGATTCAGACTAAGAAGCTAGTAGATTCGCTAAAAAAAAGGTGGCAACGCTGTATTTTTATTGGTAATTAGCATCGTAATTAGTGTGAGTGTGGTGGGCGGGCTTGAGATTTGAACTTTACAGGCCAGAAGATCCTGTTTGTGTGTGTGTAGTGTGAACTGTGTAGTATCATTGGTTATTCGTTAGTCCATTCCGTTGTGGCGATTGATTCAATTCCGTGGCCAACTGACCAGTCAGGGTCAGAGTCACAAGTGACAAACTACTACATTTGGTGGTTCGGAAACTGTGGTGACCCTCGAAATCCCATACACGAAGGAGATACGACCTTCTAGATGAAAAAATATATATATTTCAATTCAATTCAACAAAGGTTACCGAGATGAAAACAATGAACTAAAATCTTGTAGGATTTGTAACAACAATTAAAAAGGGGTCAATATTGTTTAAAGGTAATGCATTTTTAAAACCATGTCAGATATCAACAACTCTGTGTTGCTTAGCACCTTTCTAAATGGGAAAAAGAAAGTGAAAATCATTTTTCATAAGGGAGTATTGGTATGGGATAATGAAAAACCACCTTTAGGTAAGTATTTTTTATGTCAAGTTCTTTATTCAGGTACTATACAACATAAATAATCATACTAGAATTGTGCGCTTCTTTCTAATTCTACCTTGCATCTTTATTTTGTAAGCCAATTTTAAAAGAATACTTATCAAGCTCTTGAAATCTAAGTATGACAAGAAATTGAACATGATTATTTAGGAAAATCTGAGAGACAAATTCTTGGACAAATTAAGCAATGCATTATTTCAGTAACGTAGGTATATTGTACAAAAATTCGAAAGACGGAAGCTCAGTTTGTCATTCAACTTCCATAGGAAAGAATTGAAAAACTGGGGGGTGGATTTATTTTATACAGGTAACTACTCGGGTAACTACCTAAGCTTTTCAAAATTTAACAAAGAATGGAATATTAGCCAACTGTTAAAGCCGAGGTTAAACTTATAAAAGGATCTATAGAAAATTAGAATAGAAAAATTCAAATTTAACTTGGGACATGTTTTGGTACATTTTTCAATTTTTTGAGGCCGATACCTTGGACAGCATTTGATATAATTAGTTGAGAATGTCAATGTTGAAAAACGAATTTTTTTTTACTCGCCTTGCACTTATAAGTCAAAAAAATCTCGAAAAAAATTTAAGACCAACTAAAAAAAAATTTAGACCCAGGAGAGTGTGGCTAAGTTTAGATATTTTTTATCATTTTTCTATGTCTTATGTTCCATTTTAGCAAACTGGAGCTGTTTTATCGAGTGTTTTATGATTTCGGGACTCAACTTCATGATTCCATTTTATTAATTCAAATGTCAGATTCAATATGATTTCAAAATAAAACTGCTTTTTCCTCCAAAAAAAATAATTCAAAGACACCACCATGTAACTAATTATTTTAAAACAAATGCAAAAAAGTCGTATCATTCAGATTTTTCTTTAATATCCAAAGGAAAATTACGAAAACAGTATCGAAGCACGTATTTTTGTAGTTTAAAAAATTAGTGCATTTACCTACCTATTTTAGTTTATTTTTTGGCCTTGTAAAAATTACATATTTGTTTTAAAAATTAGATTTAGATTAAACCGAGAAGTTGAATACCTGAAGTAGGTAACTATTTAGATTTAGGTACCTATATGTTTTGTTTTCTTTATTTTTATTTAAAATAATTGAGTACAATAATCGTTTCCTTTCAAAAAAGTCAAAAATCTGAAATCTAAAATTTGAAAACTGGGTTAAAATATGGTTTTATTTTTAGAGCAACATACTATCCCTATAGAAAATGTTTTGTCAGTACAAAATGATTTTATAAAGGAAAGGCACCCAGCAGTAGCAAGAGAAGTAAATCCCAACCAGTTTACAATACATTATACAGAAAGAGGATCTGATAATAAATGGCGATATAAACATATAACCCTGAGGCATTTGGATTCTTTGCAAGTAGCTTCCTGGGTGAAAACATTACAAAATAATTTAGCAAGTGAGTATACATATATTATGTATTTATTCTTAATGTAAGCAATAACCAATACCTATGACAATAATTAATTTCTAGTATTTAGCAAAATTTTTATCAAGGTCAAATAACTAATTATATATTACTTGTTTTACTAGGTTGTTTTGTTGAAACGTGCCTATAATATAAATTTAAATACCAAATAAGAATTTGGTTTGACCTTTAATTTACAGTTTAGAGTTTAATTGAATGATTAGGCATAGTAATTAAAAAATCCGGTTATAATTTTTTATAAATACAGAAATAATGGGCGGGACCCAGAGAAAAGGAAATCTGCCTTCTTTGACTTGTCAGCGCTGACGTCAATGGCTTCTTCTCATTTGATTCTTACTCTAGTACTCAACAATCCAAAAAAAAGTTTATATAAATGGTCACGTTTTTTCTTTTCTTTTTTATTATTTTGAGGGATTCAAACCCTTTCGCGATGGGTTTCATTCTCCAAGGTTTAGAAAAAAAACAAGAAGTGGGGGGGATATACTCCCGATTTTAACTTAGTTGCACATTTCAAAACTTTAGGGAATAATTTTTCCTCATTTTTGTACAATTGGACATGCATGAATAAAACAACTGTTTAATTTAATTAGAATATCCTCCTGTTTCATCATTCTTGGAATAATTGAATTGGTAATTACGGACTGGCATTTATTTTTTTTGCTCCCTAGATGTATATTTCGTCAAAAACGCCATTAATAACGACCATTTATTGAACTTTTCATTAACATTGACCAAAGGTTCTTCAAGTATTTCCATGAGAATATCGAAAATATCTACCCCGCATTTATTTATAATTTATACAAATAGTTAAAGTAAATGCAACAATATACGGTTGATCTTCTGACTGCAATAATACCCTCATTATCCTTTTGACCATGAAATAAATCATAAAACCCCTAGGTTAATCCAAATCTATATTGCATATCAGGTCAAAATAACCAAAAATATAAATAGTAGCAACTGATTTAGTAATTTTAGTTTTTAGAGATTTTCTGGAAAGTAGGTAATTTTCAGTTGAACTTATCTGTGTGATAGTGATACAGAGTTAAATAATGAATAAATTATCAGTAGTTTTGGAATTTCGTTAATTTCTATTGTGTTTCTTATCTTAAGAGTTATACTTTTAAATTATATTATTTTGAATTGATACTTGTTATCGTTATTTTACCCTTACCTTAATCTAAAAGTGTCCAATTATTTTAAATTATGAAAATAAATCATGTGGTGGTACATTTTTAAGCTGACAATAGGGTCTAATCCAGGTAGTTAATTTATTGCAGTAAGAGTCAACAGTATATTGTTGCACCTACTTTACAAGCTTTTGTTGCCCCTTTACTTCTTCAGTAATTTCGATCAGGCCTTCGACACTTTTTTTACACTAAATCAGTGCTAGGCAGATTCCAATGCGAAAATAGCTAATATTAACGAGACTGGGAGGGTGGAAATCAACATCAGTTGAGGAAGAATATTTGGAGAAATCCACAACATTGGAGTGAAACATATGAATCCAATATTATGTCAAAAATCCGGCTCAAATCAAGCATCAACATCAGCTGCAAGTACTTTCCAAGCGAGTTCCCAAAAAACTTTTGGAAATTACTTAGCCATACCAACAAATGCCCAATTAATTTATTCTAGTGAAACTAATACTAACCAGATGGAAGTGTTATACCTCTACTGTGAACTGTAGCCATTACTTGGCTTCTTCCACACGCAAAAAACAAAATACTTGGTTCGAATAGCTTAAGCTCAATTCGAGCATAAGTTGGATTTATATATACTCAAGACTATGACGCCTTGGAATAAGAATAGAAAATTCTCAATATATTAGGTTTCTTTCAACAAAATGCGATGTTTTGTTTGAGTATTTCAGATTTTTTAAATAAAAATGTAGTTATTTCAAATTGAAGATATATCGCTTCATCCTAAACTTTTGAATATTCATATAGCAACTTGTATTGAGCATAATGTCAGTTCTATCTAACAATATAGATTTGCTTTGTTTGATGCTATCCCAGTTTCATTTTGAGAGGACGGTAATTTCACCATGAAAATTGAGATATGCTTGAAGTAAACTTTTGTATACTTTTTCATGGCCATTTTGCACTTTGCACCGACCATTTTAAGGGAGACTTAACGATAAGTAGGTATTCCTTAAAATTACATTTTTACATGTAAAAAATGATGTCACAGGAATACCTACTTATCATTAAGTCTCCTTTAAAATGGTCGGTGCAAACGGCCATTAGAGTATTCTACTCTACAGCATTCACCCAAATTCAGTTACGAATGCTACACTTTTTTATTTTTCACATTACAAATAAAAAATACTGATAAAATATTTTTCTCGATCCAAAAATATTATTCAAGTTCAAATTTGAAACTATTTCTGGAGGAAAAAAACAATGGTTAACAACTTTTTCTTTTAAAATCAAATGAAAAGATTGCATGCGGTTTTGGTAACCAAATCTGGGTAGACACTGCAGAATATATAAATCCAATCCATATAGGGTAGGCAAAGAACGTGAGTGGTCTCCATAGAAGATTCACAAAAAAAAAACTGAATGATGAAGTTCAAACAACCCGCCGTAACCTTACATGAACCTTACTCTTCAAGGAACTAGTGAAGACTGAGAGTTGAAGAGAGCTGCTATGAAAGATCGTTATACTTGTAAGCCGTTCAACTCAAACCAAGCATTACGGTACGATTATATTCTCTAATGGAAAATACATTTTCAAAGTATTGTCGAATTGAGGATGTGGAACTTATTAAATTTAAGATATACCTATATTTTTAAAATAGGTATTTCATACTCTTATATTTGTTAACATTGAGAATATGGAGAGATCATATACTCAAATTAAGAGTATTTTATTTTTTATCCTTTCCGTTTTAGTATCCGGCTGTTCAAAACAAAAATGAGTACATTCTCAAATTAGGTATATTGTTTCTCCTTCCAAAATTGTAAATCATCATTCTAAAGAGGTAATAGTTTCCAAATAAAGAGCCGATGCAATCTCAAAACTAAAATTCGTATTTTAGGAATAAAAATATGAAACATTTTGAAACAAGACTATTTACTACAATGAAAAATATATCTTGAAAATATTATATTCCTTTTTCAAACATATTGAAATTCTTGATTTAAACTGGTGTCCTTAAATTAAAAATATGTAAGCTTGAATCAAGTAAAAAATATTGAAAATATACGTAATCTACATTTAAGATTTTGTTTTTTTTCTGTGAGTACTCCAAAAAACATATGGGAATCAATCTCCAACATATAACCGAGTACTAATTCACTATAGATATTGTTAATAATAGAAAATAGAAATAGTGGTTAGATTTAATGTTTTTTTGTTGAAATAAATTCTTTGTTGTTCAAGTTAAATTAGTGGTCTTATTTTCCACTCATGGAAAAAAAATTGTTATTTACTTTTGCGGAAAGTGTCTTTTCCACAATAATTGTTAGTTCTAGTTATTTCCTTGGTTATTTCCCTAACGACCCTAACATTAAGAAAATTATTTCCAATTGTAAACTTGCGAACTATACCTTATGATACATAGCTCAATGGCAACCAAAATACAAATGACATTGTTTTTACTAAAAGTCAATAACAATGACACATTCTGGCTCTATTTATGGTATTTTCGAAATGAGATTGCAAAAATGTTTCATTTATTTGCAGTTATTGTTTTAGTTTATGTTGTGACGATTAAAATATTTGTTTGGGCTTGAATGCTATCGTCTCTACTAAGTACATGATAAGTTTTCCATGAAGCGTTTTTTCATTAATGCGTCGTTACTATATATAGAACCCACAAAAAAAACCTGTTTTTAATAGTCATTTGGGTCCCAGATTTCAAGAAAGGCAGCACTAGTTTCCTTAAGCCTCTGTGGTGAATTTTCATTGAACATTACAATAAAACCTTAAAAACAAGAAAAAGGTTTAGCTCTTCTGGAAAAAAATCAAAAAACAGCTTAGAAGCTATTTCATAACTACTGCATTGTGCGAATTTTTTTGTTAAAGGTCTCAAGATACTCTGGAATGGCTTTCGAAAACAATTAAATATACAGGGTGTCCAGAATAAGATTTCAGTCCTGATTTTTGCATGTTTACCACTTACTACTTTTACTTCACAGTAGGAAAGCGGTTTTCACCGATGAGTTTAAATGGGTTAGAAGCACGTCTCTGCAATTAATTGGAGACATATAGCAAAATAAAGAAAGTTTTTTTTTCAATTTCAGAACTTAACCACAGGCCCAAACACCTTCTACTATTCGTAAATCCATTTGGCGGTAAACAAAATGCAATGCAAATATATGAAAAGTACGGGAAAGAGCTATTTTCTGTGGCCGGTGTAGAAGTTACTGTTAACGTTTCACAAAGAAAAGATCAAATTAAAGATTTTGTTCTTAACCATAATTTAGATATGTTTGATTCGATAGCTTGTGTGGGTAAGATTTTTTATAAAATTGTGATAAAATCGTAATGAATCACCTAAAACATAGTAGCTTTATTTATTTTCATAGTCTGTTTGAAATTGCTGCGAATTTCAGTAAATGTAACTTTACGAAAATGTTTTTTTCCAGTCTGTGCAATGGAATAAAAGAAATTTCCCAGGCAGCACCCTATCAGCTGATTAACATTTTATATAGACAATGAATAAATTTCGATAGATAAATACTTTTCTGATGGACAATAAAGTATTAATATTATAATCTAAAATCTGCCATTGCTATTTATGAAGCTGTATACAGTACAGGTGAACATCGAAACTACAAGTAAAACATAACCAATGTGGTACTACTGGCTATTTAGGATTCTGTCCATAACAAAATAACGCATTCCATCAAGGATATAATACAGGTTTTTTGAAATGTCGAATTAGATGCTATTTGGGCTTGCAAAGTGTTCCATTGTTTCCTAGGAATTATTAAATTATAAAATTTTCACTTTGATCAAGCAACTTGGCATGAAGCTTACGAAAGACAAACAATCAAATTCCATCTGAATTTATAGTCGATGGTTGGCTAAATATACTGGAATTAAATATAGATAATTATACAATTTAAGGAATATTTTGTTTCTGAGTGATTAAAAACCACTAAACCAATCACTCAAATAGAAAAATTTGAAAAACTCATCCTAATTTAGAATCATTCAATATTATAGCATGCTTTTCTGCATTACCATCAAGAATTTCTAGAAACAAACGTACCCATATAATTTGAAAGACGATGGTGTATTTAAGAGATTATTACATATATTATTCTTCACTTCGATGGAGAAGCTGATGAAGCGGATTTTGACATTCGCAGTAATTCCAAATAGACATTTTGCATTTTTTTTTCCATGCATACAATGGTTATATTTTATTAGGTGGAGATGGTACAGTATCAGAGCTATTTAATGGTTTAGTCCTGAGAGAATGCAGATTAAAGGGTATTGATCCTAATAATATCCATTTGGCATTGCCAAAACCCAATAAGCCCATAGGTATTATTCCTGGTAAGCCAGCATTTCATGAAAAAATATAGTTTTATTAAGGTTATGTCTTTGCTATTATAGGAGGGAGCACAGATACAATCGCCTATTGTCTACATGGAACTACAGATCCGACAACTGCGGTCCTACAAATTATTTTTGGCGATACTTTAGGATTAGATTTGGTGTCAGTATATGATGAGCATAATTTGTTACGACTTTATGCGAGCGTTTTGAGTTATGGTTATTTGGGGGACGTCGCCTATCAAAGTGATCAGTATAGGTGGATGGGACCCAAAAGATATGATTATTCAGGTAAGAACCAAAAACTTTTAGATTAATATGAAAATGTGTTGGCTTGGCAGTTTTTCGTTTACTTTTTTGAACAATTTCTTAAGCAAGAAAAAAGACAAACTTTGTCAGAGGTGATATTCTGTTTCACTATTTTACTAAATCATTAAGTAATTAAAAAATAATATACATTAGTGTCGTGATAATCCGTTCCCGGATAATCCGAATGCTCTTGTAATACACATTACATTTTTGTTTCTTTGAAGTTTGTATCCGAATTCATTTAGGTGATTTTTTTTTATAAATATAAAATTATTATGCAGGTAAAAAATCTATCTTTTCGTGAGTGCGTTCAAGTGAATAGGCAGTTTTCACATGTCTACAGCATTATTTAGTATGCAGCTTCCTCACTATACGGGTTCTTCAAACGAAAATGCACCTAAACAAAAGACAAATTTGAGTCTCAATGACTACCTTTATTTCACGCTTTGTATCCGGAAACGTGGATTAAGGATTATTAATCCATATTCGTTTATCTCACATTTAATAAGGGCCGGTTTCTCAATAGCAAGTCACCCCCGGGCTAAGCATAACTCCAGGATAAAAATTGCAACTGGACACGTTTACCCTTGAGTTAAAACCAACCTAGAGAAGACTCGCTAAATGGATTAAGATTAGTGCTAATCCATTCTCAAGCCTTGTTAAAAGGGCAAGCACAAATTGCTCTGTGTCGTTCGTGCCTACATTAAAGGCAATGAGCTAACACACTTTTTATGTTTTTTCCGATCCGGATAAACTCTCTAATCCTGGGTATTTATTTCAGGATTATTATTCCCTAATATTACTCCAATCCACTTAGTATCCGGATAGAATGCTTCAAATAAACGTAGTTAATGAGAAGTCAGTGATTAAATCTCTTTCTTTCAAAATAGTGAATATTACCTTTCAGTGGGCTACAGAGAATAACAAACTTTTTACAGATGCTACAAAACCTTAAGGAAATTGCTTTTAAAAACATCACTCAACAAGGTACCCCTCGACCCATCTTCCCTATCTAAAACAGGGGGGGGGGGGTGCACCCTAGCGAAATACCGATGGGGTCGAAAAGTTTCCCCCTTGAATACAAAAATGACGTGTCCGAGCGTTTTTTTTTTTTTTTAAATCGACCTTAAAATACCCTAAAACGCCTCTGTTTCGATGTTCGTGAAACACCCTGTATATGACCTTTTATTTTCAATGTATCTATTTTTATATAATGTTACAATAGTTGAGGACTCTGAAATGTCTTGAGAATCCAGATGGTCGGGTTTTATTTGATCCGGATTATCGCGACTCTACTTTGGAATGTTTTTATGGCAAAATATTTTGTCAAAAAAAAGGGAATTTAATTAATGACCTAAAATGATATATGTAGTTGGAATGGTAATAAATTATTTCTATTGAAGGTTTTAAAAAATTGATGCTAAACAAAGGTTACCAAGGTGAAATAGCAATTTATACAGAAAAGAAGGAAGTTGAAGCAGACGACTGCAGAAGTAATTGCCAAATTTGTGATACGGCCAAAGGAGATAATAAAAAAGTTGTTTGCAAGTAAGTAAGTTACCTTTCAAAATTTACATTTCTAAATGAATGAAATGTTCAGGTGGGAGACGATCAAAGGTAAATTTTTTATGGTCAGCGGAGCTAACATCACATGTGCGTGCAGTAGGAGTCCCCAAGGCATTGCCCCAAACTGTCATTTAGGTGATGGAAAAGTCAATTTGGTTCTAGTCAGACATACATCTGTTATCAACAACTTAAGGTGAGGCTTTAATTTCTTTTCTTGGATTGGAAATGCTAATAATTTAGCAGCATTTCTAATTTTTTTATGCCAAAATTATCACAATAGAGAAAACTTATTTTTTTTTTTTAAATGTATGTGGAGGTTTGCAGTCCAGTGTATATTAAACATGACTGGGCAGAGTATTTGTCAGTTGTATATTTTCAAATAATAAATACTTTGCGAAAAAATGAGGAGTTGGTGATAATGGAAGCTTACTTTTTAAAACCTCCTCAACCTCAAAAAGTATAAGTCAAAGTCAAAAAATGCTTTATTGTCTAAGAACAAAATTCTCGTTGACAAAGCTGTAAAAGGGGGGAAAAAAAGTATACAAAAATAATTCCAGGGCCATAGAGTACCAAGATTAAAATAATTAAAATAAAAATACAATACAAGGTCAGACTAAAACAATAAAATCATTTAAACAGTCATTAAAACAAAAGATGAAGTCACTTTAAAAATCAACATAAATATAAACATAAATCAACATAAATACAAGAACATGTTCATTCTAAAATATAAAATAAAAAATATCAAAATTGCACAAACGTAAAGTCAACAAACACAGAAGTCATTAAATAAAACTACAAATTATATTCAGACAGTCACAAGAAAGCATCTTGGAAGAATTCTTCTGTGCTATAGTAGGCCTTTGATAATAGAAGCCTCTTAAGATGTACTCTAAATTTTTTACCAGATACTATCTGTCTCAGATGCAGTGGCAGATGGTTAAAGATCTTTTTACTTTGATAGATTATTGAGTTTTTTGTTTGTGTGGAGGAAGGGATAGGAAGGTTCACATTGTGTGTTTGTCGAGTGGTATGTACAGATGAAAATTCGTGTATGTTTTCCTTAAACTTTTTATGAACGAGACATGAAGTCTCTAGTAAAAAAATAGCAGGAAATGTAAGCAATTTATGACGCAAAAACAATGGTCTACATGAGTCTCGTAATCCTATCTTAAACATATACCTTACCGCCCTCTTTTGCAACACAAACAACATATTAAAGAGAGACAATGAACAAAAATCCCAGAAACATATTCCATACCGCAAATGGGATTCAACGAGTGCAAAGTATGCACTTTTTGTTGTCCCAAGATCTAGCTTACTCGATATTACTCTGATTGCATAACATCCTGATGACACCTTTTTGCTCACGTATGTTAAGTGAGGCTCAAATTTTAATCTATCGTCTATGTATACTCCGAAAAACTTACTCGATTTTTGACTGGCAACAGTATCTGCCCCTAAGGTAATTCCCTCAAAATTTATTGATATCCGATTTAAGCTGTTCTACATCCTTTTTTACCCAGAGAATCGTGGCATCATCAGCAAACAGTGTGAATACCCCAACTATATCAATGCTAGACAGATCGTTGATGTACAATAAAAATAATAGAGGTCCCAAAACAGATCCTTGTGGAACCCCTGCACTTATAGCCAGTTGTTCTGAATCAACACCATCAAAAGTAACTCTCTGTGCCCGTTCAGAAAAGTAGGACTCAAACCACTTTAGAGCTACCCCCCTCACCCCATAGGCTTCCAGCTTACATAACATTATTTTATGATTGACACAGTCAAAGGCCTTTGACAAATCACAAAAAACCGCTGCTGCGACATCACCGTTATTTAATCCCAAATATAGTTTCTCCAAAAATGCGAAAATTGCATCATTTGTGCCACATGACTCCTGAAATCCAAACTATTCACAACAGAGAATACTATGTTTTTTAAGAAAACTCATTAAACGCGCCTTGACTAGCTTTTCTATTACTTTAGACATTGTAGGCAACAATGAGATTGGCCTAAAATTTGAGGGTGTATCGCAGTCACCACCCTTGTAAAGAGGTAAGACCCTTGCAAGTTTCAGACAGGAAGGAAAAATACCTGATTGAAAGGACTGATTCACAGAATCAGCAAACACCTCTAGAACCCATTCGGGCAAATGCGAAAAGACCTTCAGCGTAATCTCATCCCATCCCGCAGAATTTTTATTTTTAATATCTTTTAAGGTGTCTCTGATTTCTTGTGTTGTAGTAGGTTTAAAGAAAAAAGACTCGGATACGCTTATGTGACTTAGATATTCTCTAGGGTTAGTCCCAGAACTAATTTTGCTAGAAAGAGAAGCCGCAATCGAACAATAAAATTTATTAATTTCCGTGGCAGTCATATGTGAGTCCATTGGTGAAGTATTCTTTTTTCCTCTTAAGTTATTAACAATTCTCCATGATTCCTTTTGTTTGTTGCCAGCCATCTCTATCCTATTTCTAAAATATAATTGCTTAGCGGTTTTAACTACTTGCCTATATATTTTACGATATTTGTTGAAAAAAAGCATAAAACCATCATTCTCCAAATAAAACTTCTTAATGTAATGCAAAGGACGCATATTTCTAGCCGATGCTCTTATACCTTTTGTAATCCACAGCTTTTTACTCTTACACTTCCTGGTTCTAAGCGGAAAAGATCTATAAAAACTCTCAACAAAGCAGAATGCAACCCCGACAAAGAATTCTCACATCTACCAATCTCGGTCCAGTCTGTCTGCTCGCAGAGTCTCAAAAATGTCTCAAAGTTACCTGTAGAGTAAAGTCGTTTGTACTCTTTTGGCAGTTTAACTGTGCCATAGTCACATTCCACCTCCAGTCCACACACAACCGCCTCATGATCGGAAAGACCCGCACCAACTGTTGAACAACTCACTCTCCCTTCATCAGAATTTTTACAAATATAATCCAACAATGTCGCTGAATTCGCAGTAATTCTAGTGGGTTTCTTTACATGTACTTTTAAATTAATAGAGGAGAGTAAGCCATTCAAAGTCTGCACTGAAGCCGATCCTGTATCTAAAAAGTTAATATTTAAATCTCCTGTCAATATTATTAGGGCATTCAAAGGTAGGCTTGTTAAAAGTTTTTCCAATCTGGCAAAAAACGCATCAACATTTCTTGAAGGAGGTCTATAGATACACAAAACATAAAACAAAGGTCGCAAACAACACACAATTGAAAATTCGAATTCCTTTTCAATTATTAAACTGTTATATCTATCTACATTGATTATTTTAAATACTTCAAACAATCTCTGCTGTACCATTATGAGTGTTCCACCATGCACTGCATCTGACCTACAATATTTAGACATTTAACTATACTGTTGCAAAAATATCGGCTCATGATCCCTTAACCAGTGCTCAGTGAGAAGAACAATGCCTGGGTAGTCTAAATCAGCTAAAAACACACAAAAACTCCGAAATATTTCTGATTTTTGTCTCTGAGAGGTAGAACTTGCTGTCAGAGTCTCTCATAGCCATTTTCAGCTAGCCCTCAGTCCTTGAAAGTTGAATCAATTTGAGAACTTATTTTGGCAGGTCTCGCAAACTTTAATTTAGAAACGAAACTTTTCAGTTTTTTGATCGTGAAATTTGTGTAATCGAAAAAATAATTTAGGACTGCTATACAATATCTATAGTTCCTTTTTCAATTTTTAGATTATTATTGCGTCTATCTAGTCAAGACGCCTCAGTTGATAACCTGCCCTTTGTGGAAACCTTCAGCGCTCGTGAGTTTTGTTTTAGAGCTGAAAATGGAATATCCAGTAAGTGGAACTGTGATGGTGAAATACAGCATCAAACAAATATTCGTGCCAAGTAAGCTCCATTAGATTTATTATCTTATTTCCTCATGTAACTAATATGAACTTATTAAGGGTAAGATGCCAGCTGCTCACCATGTTCAGTAGAGGAAGTGAGAAAGTCGCGAATTCAACAGAAAATAAGTGCTGGTGTTTGTAAATTAATATTTTTTAGACATATGGCTGAAATTGTTTCCATAAAGTATTTTCTTATTGTATCTTTAAGCAGTATTTGCGAGTATTTGAATAGTTAATAATTAATATAAACTTGCTCATTCTTAAAAACAAATTATAGAATCAAAATGATGTGATTTATTAGAGGTTTATTTTAATTGTAATTTAAGTAACATTTAAATCATTCCTCGGGTAGTATTCTACTTACTAATTAACACAAATCGAAAGTTACACACTCAGCTGAGTAACGGCAAATGCATAACCCTATAAGTGCATAATTTACTGTACCTACTATATTTTACCTAAGGCCACAATTACTATACATACCTACAGCAAATATGTTGTTAGTTTGGGTCCTGGATTCCTAATAATTTATCTGCGGACCAGCATTTTCTTTTCTATCATTCTCTTTTTTATCTTGGCGAAAGAATATAATTATAAGCTTCCTGTTAATATAAGAAATATGACAACAAAAAAATGTAGGTAACTTTACTTTGAAAAATTATTTGCTAGTAACATGATTCCCTAAGGCCCAGTTTATTCTTCTTCAGATAAACTTGCTGGTAACTATCTGCAAGATAAATTTACCGTTTTATTGGTCGGCGGCAACTGGCCGACCAATGGGATTATAGATTGCGTTTTTATCCGTCAGATTACATACCTGGCAGTTTATCAGAAGGTGAATAAACCGGCCCCAAAAGAAAAAGTAGGAAATCATATTTTTTCTTATATAAAAAACAACTGTGACACCAATGTAATGTTTTGTTTCTTTTGGACTACTTTCGGACATTTTTGGTGTCGTTTTAGTTTTAATGTTAGTAGTAAGACATCTGATGTAGGGACAACATTTTACAGAGTATTTGATTATATTTAAACCCATACCTACAGCCTTTAGGAAGAAAAGATCTTTAATTTTATCGCATAATATACAGGGTGTTCCATTAAAAAAAGTCGAAGTTGTCTACGTTTCTCCATTTTCCAATGCGATTTTGTTTTTTCTGAAAAACGTTAGAAGAAAATATAAAAAAAAACTTTCGAGTTTTGTATTCAAATTTTTTTTCTATCTCAAATAGTAAAGGCTGTAGGTATGGGCTTGAATATAATCAACTACCCTGTACAGCTTTAGGCCTTCAGTAAAAATATTAATTTATTCAATACAGTACTTACGTTTGTGTGTAAAATTTAAAGATTTACAGCAGTGGTCCTAGGTAAAACAAAATATGTTTTTCAAACTAAGTCAATAATTTTTAGAAAGAATGTAGTATATAAGCATTCACTAGGGTATTATGTATATTTTGAATGTATTTTTATATTTTGATCTTTATAATGTGGAGATAGGTATATTTGTTGTGGGTTTTTTTTTTTTTGATAATATACTGATGCTTTTATTTTTTCAGAAGTACTTTTATTATGTAATTTCAGCTCCTATAAACTAAAAAATAGGTGTTTTTTCTATAAACCAGTAAATAGGTTTTGGACAATTCTGTTCAACAGTTCCTCTGATTCTTAAGAAAACATTGTTTGTACATAGTAAGTATGCAGGGCGTAGAAATGTGCGTGAAGTGAGCCTCGATTTCCAGCCACAACTTGAGCATACCCTTCGCACGAAAACAATTTATATACTCTTAAATTGATCTTTACTGCAACTTCGGTTTATTACCGAATCCAGATTATGTTTATATTATTATTATGAATTATGATATAACTGATAAACTGCATCAGGTGTATCAGATCCACTTGAATTAATTTTGAAGGGGACAAAATCCTATTCACAAGCTTTGTGGACAATCTTCATTACCAGTAAGTTTAGATCCTCAAGGTCAAGGTTTCTGTAGTGTGGTAGGAAGGTAGAATTCCTCAAGGCTACGAAGAAAAGAGCGATTTGAGAGAGGAAGGACATAATTCCTATTTGCAGAGGGTTGATTTTAGATGTCGAACAAAACCATGAGAAAATATCCTTTATTGAATTACCATAGTATCGCCTCTGCCTCGCACACAGCAATGCCGCTGCGAGTCCTGTTTGGCTCACTGCACCCAGCATTTCACATCAGTTTAAATAGTTGATTTTAAACTTTTGTCAGTAACATAGCAAAGATGAGTTCTTCGGACGAAGATGATACCTTCTTTCACTCTAGTGGCACTCTATCAAAAATAGAAGAAGGAAGACGATAGGCACATCCTTTAAATGAAAAGGGAAGTCAGTTCAGTGTGAATTACATCACCTTTTTGATGATCATGGTGAATTTTGCTTCTGTTGTCCCATATCGGCTCTCTGATGGAGACACTCGTAATTAATTTTTCCTTATCCATCATACATAATGTGCGATGTGCAAGGCTTCGAAAAATACTAAGCTTGATTTCGGAGTGCGATGCTATGGTGCCCGGCTTAGTGAAAAGCGAGGGGCGGTACGCCGTTGTGGCCAAGCGCATTTAACTTTATACTAACATTCGCTTTGCACACGGATGGTATGGTACAATGCTTGGTGCTATGCGTAGTGCGGTGCGTCGTAATGGCCGCCCACTAAGTCTAATTTACCACAACAACTTGACTAATTTTGAATCTAAAAAAAAAAAAACTAATTAAAGCTGATCCTCAAGCCATGAGAACCTAGATTTGATGAACAGTATTTGGTTGTTTTTATTTTTGTTCCTTCAAAATGAAGGTAAGTTATGTATAACAAATGACCAACACCAGATGGTCCCTGCATTCCACATTTCTGTTGGTTAGTTGTAGATTTTGCTTAGGTATAGAAAAATAGACCGGTAGTTTGCTTTATTCGTACGGTGGAAATTATTTTGTCTTGGTAAAGAAGATACCAGAATCGAAAAGTTCGCGATGTGTTGTGTTTATCATTTCTAAATAGTACATCTACACACAATATTAAAAAAATAAATAGTTATGTGTTTGGCAAAACAGAACTCTGCCAATACCACTAACAAAGATAGAGGTAGGTATGTACGACTATGGTTTAATATTCTCCATGATGCTGATCGCTGTTGGTTCATTTTATCTATTTTTAATTGAATGTTCCAAATATTTATGTTGTAACGTTACCGTTTTTTTAGGCCACCATAACTGTATAGACTATTAAAATCGTAAAATTTTGACTCTTTTTTAAATTTTATGAAAAATATGACATTTGGGTCCCAAAACACCTAAATCGATGGAAAAAATGATGTGTTTCGGATCGGATGCCCAGTCCTTTACTATGGAACTGTACTTTTACCTTTTTTCAATTAAAAAATCATTTGTGTCCAATTTTATAAAGAAATCTAAGCTATAGGTTATTGAGTACAGTACCCAGTGTAAAATCAGATTGTTCTGCTTTTTTCGTAGCCCTGAGGAAGGTAAACCAAACTTAACTACCGAAACGTTGGCCTAATAACTAAACTTATTGGTAAAAAATAACTAACATAGTGAAAATTTGGAAATGGTGTCAAATCTTAATTCTTCTCGAGATTCGGAATGGAGTACGACCGTACGACTACGTTTTTATGGAAGTTACTCAATTAATTGTTCTCGAAAACTCTCCCATAAACTGGTTTTTGCGATAGGGCATGACCTGCTGAAAATACCGAAAAACTCAATAAAGTAAGGCTCGTAGGGCATTTTTAATTTTTTCTCGAGATTTTGGATGGGGTATACCTAGGGATGCCACCTTGAAAAGTAAGTTGAACCGGAGAAAAAAAAACTCTTATTGAAAAAAAAGAGCTGAAAAAAAATCCTACAAATCTGATAACAGATGCATTAGGTACACTCTATCTATAGTCTATACACAAGTCTCCCCTGGCATCACCGGATGATGCTTCAGGGTTGTGAGTTGAGACGGTTGGAGAGGGAAATCCAAGGATTATTACACACTACACAGGATAGGACAACCATTGGATAGTCTATCCACATATGGTCTCTGTAGATCAAATCTCAAGCCCCTCACTACGCCAAACCACCAGTTATGACGTAGACAGCGTGTCGTTCCTCGCTTTGACATGGGGTGTTTACACCACAGGCTATGATTTCGCTCACTTTTGCTTTATGCATACTTGGTCTTAGTACATTAATGGCGACGAGATCAATCGTTAGTCAAGTCCTTGTTAGCAAACAACAACCTCAGATTGTGTCACACAAAACAATCTCATATTGACATTGACACAATCTGAGGTTTTTGTTAACTAACAAGGACTTAACTACCGATTGATCTAGCCGCACTAATGGCCGTTTGCACCGACCATTTTAAGGGAGGTTTATCGATAATAAACGCTTAAAGTGACATTTCTACATGTGAAAATGTCACTTTAATCGTCGATTATCGTTAAAACTCCCTTAAAATGGTCGGTGCAAACGGCCATAAGTAACATTCTAAAACAACCCTTTTTAGATCTCGTTTGCATCTTCCGCTTTGCTTATTATGTTATTCAAAATTAAATAATATTTTTCATCATATGACATTGATTCCAAAAATCGAGGCCGATGAGCAATCCTATAGTAGTGCGTAATATCCTTGAGGGAGAGCAGGAACAGTATTGCGCTGTTGCTAAATGTTATTTTTTTTCTTGGACATAAGAATTATTTTTACGTTTTTTTTTTTTGTTAAATGCATCGAGCTTTTACCCGGAGAAAACACCTAGTAATCCGGAGCCCGGAGACCATGTGAAAACCCGTAGACTCCGGGTGAAACCCGGAGAGGTGGCAACCCTAAGTATACCACTGCCATCTTTTGGCAGGGATTTAACAAAGCAGTGTTCTATGGTACTTCCTAAAATTGGTTTTGGTGGGAAACGAAGGGTTGAAAATATCCAAAGCTCAATAGAAATCAGGCTTTCATGGTTTCCACCAACTATTTTAGGGGAGCCTTAACGATTTTAAAATGACATAGTTTTCCATGGAGAACGTTTTGCGCTGTTTGTTGCGGTCTGGATGCACCTTCAGATTTTGGATGAGGCTTCTTTACCATCTTCTCGCCAGGGACTTAACGAAGTGTTCTAGAATACTACCTCAAATTGGTTTTGAAATCAGAAATCGGTAGGAGATAAAGAGTTGAAAGTAATGATCGAAGGTTGGAAAGTATCAAAAAACTCAACAAAAATAAGGTCTTTATTTTTCTTTATCGAGGTTTTGGATCGGCTATCTACCACTGTCAGTTCATTGTTTGGAAGGGAACCAACAAACTTCTAGAATACTCTCTCAAATTAATTTTTAAGACATGGGATGAAGGGTTGATAGGGCGCTTTGGCTGAGTCGTCTTGATGCCGTTTGCTCCCCACTCGAGTATAATAGTTTCTGCCATAGAGAAATAATAAAGGAGAGTGTCCGAATCATAGGTGCGAATTGGCACACAGTTGGAGCTTTTGCGCAAGGTAATTCGCGCGGGGGCCAGAATCGGCAGAACTAAAATGATAAATGACAATGGCCGCGACCATATGTTTTGTGTTTTGGTTTGGTGGGTTTCATCACTCTTCGAATTCCGAATTCATAATTTGAATTGAAAATTGGCAGAAAAGGTAAGCTGAAAAATTAAAAAGATAGGTACCTATTATACCTGGGATCATATATATCATGAATCAATAATATGAATGGGTTCCAAGTGTTTTTTTAAATCTCGTAGATACTTATTATAGTTTCAGTGTGTACTTTTGTTTAATGTTTGAATTCAGACCATAAAGAAGCAAGCGTAAGGCTATATTACCTAAAAATAATCTTCCTTATTGAAAAAAGTAGTAGGTGAATATTTATTTTTTTGTTTCTAGTCCAGCCATCAGAATAAACCATGAACCAAGAGAGTACTTGATTAGGTACACCTAATAGATACAGCGTACAAGAGACCTAGTTCAGTTTAAAGGTATGCCTTAGAATAAACCAAAGTGGATTGACTTAAGAGTATTTTCTTTTTTTTCATTTTTAAATTTTCCAGAGAGAGGAGAGGGTACACAAGTACCTACTTCTGACAGATTGACTTCAAGATTAAACGTTTTTCAATATTAGAATTTTGTGTTTTATGTTAGAAAGTTATGTTGTGCTCTTGTTGCTTTTATTGCTAATAAAATATATTTTTAATTTATTTCGAAATTTATTTACTGCAAAGAAAATTCTGATCAGAAACATCCATTCAAATATCCCGCCTTTTTTCGGCTTGAAGCATAGGTACCTGCCTTATCGATTGATGCAACGACTGTAGTTCCTATTATCCCCCACTGGTGCGCCTCGATCAAACGCTGTTCTTCTTTTTAGTACAGAATCGGACACTCTCCTATTTATGTATTATATTTCTCTATGGTTTCTGCCAGTACCAAAGGACCTTAATTCTCCCTTGAGACATTCCTCTGCGTTGCCTGTTGCGGCAGGACTGCAGGAGTGCGTAACCCGAACTTTTTTGTATATTTCAGATTTTCTTTTTTTTTAGTGTTTTTCCTGCGTAGATGCGCAAGAAAATAAAAATCAAAATACAGGGTGTCCCACGGTGCATGGCGTATTAGACGTTTATGGAGAACTAAAAAGCGGATCATTTTGAAAATTTGGCAACCGGGATAAACGACCATAATCTATATTTGAAAAATATTTTTGATTATGCGGTGTTGCCGCTTCTACTCTAAACTACTACATCGCTATTTTAAATGGAACACCCTGTATGTGATTGCATATTTGGATTCTACGTAAAATTCTGAGCAGATTTTATGTGATATACCCTATACCTAAGTTCAACTGTTTTGGATATATTGTAGGGTTGACAAACTATCGAAAAAAAAACTATCGATAGTGATATCGATAGAAAGGCTTATCTATCGATAGTAACTATCGATTGTACTATCGATAGTTTGCCCTGACCAAAGTAACCAAATTTCTAATTAATTACGAAATAAATTTATCAAATAACAACAATAACATCATAACCTTAAATAAACATTAACCGCCAACCCCTATCAAGTCCATGAAAGTCACTCGTCACATTGCTCGCCATTCCTGTTAACCTAAAAATTAAAAATTGGCAGCACAGCATGTCTTCCCCAAAAAATAATTACACATTTCTCAAAACAGCTACAGATTTCTTTATATTCACACGTTATTGATTGAGAAACCGGCCCTCAAGAGTTTGGAACACTCGAGCTACTCGCTCCAGTGTTAGTCGACCCCGATTTGAAAGGAAGAAATACGTGGTGCAACATTTTTCGAAAAGGAATAAGCGCATAACGCTACGGAGCTATTCCAGAGTTCCTCCTAGGTGTGAAAGGAATACAATTATTGCAACTGGGCTCGCTTACCCTGAAGTTAAAACCAACTCGGAGGTGACTCGCTATTGAGAAACCGGCCATTTAGAACTATCGATAGTGGTACAGGTCTATCGATACTATCGAAAATGAAAAAAATATCGATAGTATCGATATTCCTATCGATAGTTTGTTATCCCTAATATATTGACAGTTGAGAATCGACTTTTCGCAACTTTGACAGGCCACACAGGCTTATGAGGATAGGCTATCCTGGATCGAGTTCAGAAATAACGCACAGGGTGCGAGTGCGATTTTATGGGTGTGCCTGAATTGACAATTGGCCATTGGGCACATAGCACCGTCTAGCATTTTTGAAAAGCTAGGGCGTCGCACCGGTGTCACACTCACACTTGGTGTGTCATTTCTGAACTCGCCCCTGTAGTAGTCATGGCCGAATCTAGGGGGGGGGGGTGAACAGGGGCGCGAGCCCCCCTTCGCATCTTAAGGGGGCGGCAAAAAGACAAGACACTGCCTAACTTTTTTTCATTAAACATACATATCTAGCGATTTTTTTTAAAATTCATTATCTAATATTGTGCCAACTTGTAGCACATCTTCTGATCTTCTGATAGAACAGCCGATCACCTCACAGTAACCTTACTCAAGGTTCCCTGTATTATGCTGCCCTCTCCGGAGGATATAGAGCTTTGACGTCCGATCACGTTGTAGATTGTAGATTGTGGGGGAGTCGTTTCGGCTTTTCAGCCGCTCAGCACTGCTACCTTTGCAGATATTTTGTACGTGACTCTACACCTTAGGTTGTCTCCAGGAAACGTAGACTTCTGCCGAAGAAAGCTATTTTCCTGGATTTCAGTTGGCCCACTTCTTCTGGTGACAGTCTGCGGTCTCCATTGCGTCTGAGCAGAATCTGCAGAGATTGTCGTCTGCTCTGCCCATTAACCTTAAATGGTATTTTACCAGGCAGTGTCCTGTGAGCAGTCCTACCACCAATCTGATGTCTGGTCTGCTCATGTTTAGGAGCTGTTCAGCTCTTTTTGCTGAAAGGGTAATAAACCTTTTTGACTGTCTGAGTCCGGGAGTGTGCCTCCAATATGATGACAGTTCGTCATTTTCCCATTTGTTGAGTTCTTCCATGATGGCTTTTCATTAAGCCACAGTAGGTCCATGGTATGGTGTTGAGGCGTTACCTGGGGGCGTATTTTCGAATATTCTCGCACACGAAATTTGATACGATTTCGAATGCTCCCCATTTAAATTACATTGCTGTCAATCAAATTTCGTGTACGAAATATACTCGAATGAATTCGAAAATACGACCCCTGGTAGTGTGTCGCTAGTGTTTTTAGGGTATGTTTACACTCCCAGACTAGTTTTCACTTGCATTTGAAAGCCCTTGAGTCTTTTAAGGCAGCTTGGCTGTCCGATAGTATGAAGATGTGTTTTCATCATCATCACGTTGTAACATGCATGGTCCGTGTCCCATTCGGTTGGCCCGCACGCAGACAAATGACAAATAAATACAATAAATTCAAAAATATCATGCCATAAATGAATAATCAATCGCCTTCTGTTGTACAACAGTACAATACAGTGGCTAAATAAACCTTTACTTACAGTGGCGACAATGGAGGTCCCGCCGCCATCTTGTTCCCAACCTCTTGTTACTTTTAAATATTAATATATAGGATTTAAATGGACATCTATCATAAAAAATTGATATCGACGTATTTGATGACCATTATTAGGTCCATCAAATACGTTGTTTTCCATGATTTATGATGGATGTTCACCTAAATCCCATATATTCCTATTCAAAAGTAACAAGAGGTTGGGAACAAGATGGCGGTGTTTTCAATATAAATATATGGGATTTTAGAACCAATCAAAAATAAGACAGCAATTGTCGCCACTGTGGTAATAGAGTCACTGTACAGTACAACATTGAATCCGGCTCCGGCCACAGATGTATTGTGCGCTCGATTGTGCGCTACCAGCCCCCAGAGAAAAGGACTCAAATATTGAGCGATTAAAGAAATTAAGTTTTTTTAATAAATCTTTGATATTCCAATAAATTTTTTTTGGAGGCTTGAAATACGTCTTTGGGCGTTGCACCAGAAAAGAATTTCTGCCTTTGGTGGCACCTGCGGTGCGCTATAACTACTGGATCCCACGCGCTGGGCTTCAACTACTGGATCACTTTAGGTGTGAACTGTGAACCCCTTTCAGTAAAGACCACGAGCCGCTACTGCTACATATAAATAAATTGCGAAATTCAACACCTCATTTTTGAATATATACATAAAAAAATGATATTTAACAGAGGGCGGCAATTCACATCTTTGCCCCCCTCGAAAAATTCGTAGATCCAGCACTGGTAGTAGTAGTGTGTATCATCCTTGGTTTACAACCACCCCTGAGACCCTGAGCAAAGACAAGTCTTTGCCCTGAGTGCGTTTTCTCAATAGCGTGTCACCTCAGGGTTGGTTTCAACCCCAGGGTAAGCGTGTCTAGTTGTTATGTTTACCCTGCAGTAATAATTAACCCGGGGGTGACTCGCGGCTATTGAGAGTTTAAAATTTAATCAAAGTCTATTCAAATGGCACTTCTACAGTTTGTATTTTTTAACTTTTCCCTTTCGTCATAATGCGGCCACCAGTCAACCTCATAGGAATAATGAATAATGCATGCTCGCATCATGGTGTCATTGATGACGCACGGGCAAAGTTAAACAATACAAATTGTAATTAACTGATCGAGAACACAAAAATTTATTATTATTAATGATAATAAATATTATTAAAGATGTTGCAGAGAAATTCCATAAAAAAATAAACCATCGCACAAATTACGGACATATAAATTTTTCTGTCAAGTATTTGTGAAAAACTATACCGGAATGAACCGTTTTAACCGAAATTATTGGTCGGAACTGAATCGAAATATTTCTCTTAGGATCTAAACCATAACGGAACCCAAATTTGTCATGACATTCTGGATTGGAATCGTAACGGAACCGTTATTTCATTTCGGTTCGAGCCCTTGCTTGGTCCCTGCTTTAATTTCAAATCAATACCTGGATTACCTGGTCACTCAGAAAACATTTCACTGCTCGGAACCACATACGACGCTCGTGTAAAACTTCTTGTAGTTTGGGTATAAATAATAAGTACCTACCTAATGAATTCCTACAAAAAATTCTCGGCCTTGAATTGTTAATTGATATAAAGTAATGAGGCAAAACGAGGATTTAAAAAAAAAAACAAATACCTACCAAAAGTACCAGAAGCTCTCGTGCTTGAACCGTCGACGGTCGTCGACCCGAATCGAATCGCGTTTTGTTTGAACGCAGCCCAGTTTGACCCAAGGATGATACACACGGATTGCTTATCGGCCTCGTTTTTGGTAATCGCCGCCATAGTGGTGTGTCACCATCGTCGTACTTTAGAATTTAAACTTATGAAGAATTTATTATTTAATTTTGATTAACATGATAGGCAAAGAGGAAGATGAAAACCAAGGATGATAACGAGATCTAAAAAAGAGTTGTTTTAGAATGTTATTTAATGTAGTAAAACAAAGTATTCATAAAGCAAAATCCCGCGGAATCATAACCTGTAGCGCAAACAGTGTCAAGGCAAGAAACGACATGCTGTCTACGTCACAACTGGTGATTTGGCGTAGTGAGGAGTTTCAGATTTGTTCCACACAGGCCCTATGTGGATAGGCTATCATGTAGTATTATCCTTGAGTTTGACCAATGAACATAGCAGCCGTGACAAGCTTTTGACAATTGACAATTAACTGACATGAACAGAAACAAAATTGTGTTTTGAGTTGAGTTGTGTGGAACTGGGAACCTGGAACTCCAAAATTTGTGTCCTGCAAAGTTTGCTTGCTATAGTAATTCTTTTTCAATTGTTTAGTGTTCAGTTCTAGTTTATTTTTACAATAAAATAGCCATAAAAGGTAAGCCGAATATAAATAAAGCATTTATTAGCTTTCAAAAGCCTCAAACAAACCAAATTTTTCTAATAATAACGGCAACCTCTGTGTTTCAGAAAATGTCTCAGATACGGAATTCGAACTCTGTAACAGGAGCCGAAAAAACAAGCATACATGATATGCTAAAAGATACACCACCCCATGAAAGCAAAAATACAATTCCCACAAATTCAGCTATGACATCCTATCCACGTAATACTCTGTCCAATAGTAGCAGTTCACCCGCTATTCTAACACCCTCTCCCCCTCAACCAGAGGATTCTGCAATTTTCAAAACGTCCTCAAGAATTGAGAATTTGAAGAACTGGTCCATATCAACCTATAAATGCACAAAGCAACTCATGTTTGAGAAGTTAGGGAAGACGTCTAGAACACATGATGCAGGTAATAAAGGCTTTACACCAATCTAAGGTTTTTGCAAGGGTTTTATTAACTAATAGTCTAAGAGCCAGCGCCGAAAAAATTCTCTGAATTTACTAAAGCTAGTTTTTGGACAGTTGATTACAGTATTTACGTACATAAACATACCGCGGTCAGTCAAGCGAAACTTGGGACAAGGACCCAGGGTGTCTTGTTAAAGGTGTCAAGATAACTTGGGTAATGCAACGAATTTACTAAAGCTGAAAATTGTTATACATATTATATATAACATATAAATAACAGTAGTGTTAGTCAGTCAGTTGAATAGCGGGACCGTGCTGGTCAGTCAGCCCCAGTAAATGTAAAAATCTGCAAAAAATATTAATATTACTGAACAAACCTATTAATTTATACTTCAACCTACAATTTTGAATTGTCACTGTCACGCTGTCACTTTAAAAAAAAAATAGACCTATTATTTTTTTACATAAATTGGGGCTGAACTACCTCAATGGGGCTGAATGACCGGCCCAGTTCCGCTATTCAACTGACTGACAAACATCACTGTTATTTATATGTTAATTATAATATGTATAGCGATTTTCAGCCTAAGTAAATTCGTTGCATTACCTAGCTATCTCGACAACTTTAACCAGACACCCTAGATCCTTGTCCCAAGTTTCGCTTGACTGACCGAGGTATGTTTATGTACGTAAATACTGTAAACAACTGACCAAAAACTGGCTTTAGTAAATTCAGAGAATTTTTTCGGCGCTGGCTCTCCGGCTATAACGAGGACTTAACAAAGCTTGAGCTAGCCGCACTAAACCCTTCACCCTCCATACAGCCCAAAGGTACCCTGCTACCCTCTATGATAGTTATTCTCACTCACCAGTTTATCACTTCTAGATTCCTTCCAAAAGTTCCCCATAATGTGAGTCACTCGGTGAATCACATATACCTAATTAATATAAGTGTAGACCTCTGTGTAGACAGAAACTTTTATTAGGGTTAGGTATAATACTGGTTTTGGGTACTTTCACATGTACATTTCCTCAGACCAACTAAATACCTACAAGAATATAAGAAAAAAGTTAAAAAATACTGTACCATTTACATAATATGTTTAACAGACTGTGGTATAACCATCTTCACTCATTACACATCACAGTCAGACAAAAAAAAATAAAAAATCTCAGATATTTAGAAAGTTTTGTTATGATAGATAGGTATGAGCGAGGGTATTGTTTAGTCAGGAGGAACATTGATAGAAAATAACAATAATTCAAGATCATTATAATATACAGTGACCTTGAAAAGGTTGGAATAGATTTCTTAAAACATTATTGATATATCTCGTTAGGTGGTAATTTGAATCAGCAGTTTAATAAGTTAATAATTTTGTCATTAATATACAGTGTGTCCACTTAAGTTCGTAGCATATGGGAAACTTTTTTATTATCAATTTTACGAGAAAAAGTTATCCTTTATAAAAGTTTCTGCTTCTTGAAAAAATAATATTAAACTATTAAAACTTGGAATAGCATGTACAGGGTGATCAGAAAATAGAAAAATATACAGAATTTTTTGGTAAAAAACGGTAAAAGTAGAAAAAAAATGGCATGTCACTATTTTTTAAAACCTTTGATATTTTTTTCAGATTCAGCAAGTCATATTACAGTCAAAAGATACCTTCCGTTATCACAAACAGACCTGCCAAATTTGAAAAAAAAAATTGGAAAATGGACTTTTGAGCTAAATAAACGTTTTTTTTTAAAACTTTGACACCCTGTATCTCAGAAACTACGCATTTCCGAACACATGTTTATGAGAACTTTTTTTCTTAAAATATTGTAGGGAATCACATCCTGAAGTTACGAACCTTACTTAGGAAACGCCCTGTATATTTTTCTATTTTTAGACCACCCTGTACATGCTATTTTAAGTTAAGTAGTTTAATATTATTTTTTCAAGAAGCAGAAACTTTTATAAAGAATAACTTTTTTTCGTAAAATTGATAATAAAAAAGTTTCCCATATGCTGCGAACTTAAGTGGACACACTGTAGAATACAATTAATTACATAATAATTATTAGACGATGCCATTTTTGTTTAACTACAGTTGAAAATATAGTATTCAACAGTACATGTTCTACTCCACAACATGAGTAGTGGAATTGTGTTCCCAATCTGAGAGATATAGAGAGGTGGAAAAGTGATGTGAATGGCATCCAAGCATTAATTTTTAGCTTTTTAGAGAAAATTAGCTACATAACCATCATTTATTAACTTTTAACATTTTTTAAAAATCAGTGCGTTGCTAAAACTTGAGCAATAAAAATTATTCTCTGAACTTTTTGTTTTATCTCATATCATTTTAATAAAAATTAAATTTTGCATATTTATAATGTCACCAGCTAATTCGAAGTAATACAGCTCAGTTTGGGCAATGGTATATAATTTGTAAAATAAAAATGTTCTAAATTCTCAATTTTTTTGGGTTAGATAGAATCGCTAGAATATTTATAAACTCGTTTAAATATATTTACAAATAAGATTTTATCTTTTTAGAGCTTGAAACTCAAATTGAGCAACTCAGAGAGACTCAAAAAAAATACATAACTATTCTGCGTCTGGCTAGAGCATTAACCAGCCATTTTTATCATGTAGTCCAGACACAGCACGCTTTGGGAGAAGCTTTTTCGGATCTTGCTCAAAAATCACCAGAACTGCAAGGCGAATTTCTATACAATTCAGAAACGCAACGAAATCTAACAAAAAATGGCGAAACTCTTCTAGGTGCTTTAAATTTTTTTATATCATCTGTGAACACTTTGTGTCACAAGACAATTGAGGATACCTTACAAAGTATTAGACAATATGAAGCCTCCAGAATTGAATATGATGCTTATCGTACTGATTTAGAGTCTCTTTCGACTAAACCTGAAGGAACAATAGGATTAGAGGAAGCACAGCAGGGTTACGAACTTCATAGACAGAATTTCATGAAACTTCGAGCTGAAGTTACCATTAAAATGAAATTTTTGGATGAAAACAGGGTAAGCATATTTTTCTAATGACTTTGTACTACAGTAATCTTCACCTACTGGGGTAATATAATCAGAGCTATTTTTATTTGTTTTTTAGAATTTCATTAGCCTTTCGTCAGATTGTTGTATTTTGCTTTTGGAAATAATTTTACAAAATCAATCTATTTTTGTTTTAGATTAAAGTGATGCACAAACAACTATTATTATTTCACAACGCTATATCCGCATATTTTTCTGGGAATCAGCAAGCTTTAGAGGCAACACTTAAACAATTCAACATAAAGATAAAAACACCGAACTCGACTTTTCCTTCATGGTTAGAACAATAGTCTTATGAAACTGTTTTTTGATACCTTTTAATATCAGAATAAGTTTACAAGGATTTTTTTGGTTTACAATAATGAGAATTGTAGTAATATTTAGACACTGCATTCTTGGGAAAATTAATAAAATGAATGGTGAGTTTATGCCTCTGTATTATCTGTACTGATAAATTTCAAATTATGGGTTAGTTTCTCTATGAACAGTTGAAATTTGGAATTTTTTATTGGTATGGTAGCTATAATTTGCTTGAAGCTGCACTGCGTGTTGAGAATATAATACATATTAAATAGTTCTGTGGTATTGTCTTGCGGTGTGTCATAAAAGATGATTTATTACCTATTTACGTTCCTTAATTATTGTGTAATATATGATATTATTGGCTATTCTAGGTTTTCAAAAAGTTTTATAAATGATAAAAAAATAAAGTATAAAATATACGATATATTTTGTTTGACATTCCTTCTTAAAATTGTCAACTCTAATTCAACAGTCTAATAAAAACTCGAATAAAAGGTACTTGATGTGCGAACATAATGTTCAGTTCTGGTGCTAAGAATTTCAGAGATGGCTTTGAAATCTTTTCCTTATTTACGGAATCCCGCAATCCCCAGCTTGAGTTCCTTGATGTACCAACGTGGGTTGTCTCTTTCCTTGTCCTTGCACGATCTCAAATCATCAGTCGAATCTGCATTTTTTCTTTTCAGGGATCTGATGCTCTGTTTGTTTAGCTAAATCTTTCCATCATGGTCTGATGCTTCATTGGAATTGCGTGTTTTACCATCCTAGTTCCATCATCCTTAGGGACATTTAGTTTTCTTGGAGTTTTCTTGACTGTTTCTCCATCAGGCTTGTTCTAGTTTTCTCCCAACTGTAATAATACTTCACCAAAGTAGGTATGCTTTCATCAAGCGCTGGGCATGTTATTCTGGTACAAACACCACTTGAACAGAGTCGTTTTGGATTTGGCCAATTTTAAACCAATGCTAAATTCTGATGAGGTGTTGCGGAAACGGACGCTTCATTGGCATGAGTTCCCATAGGATGTGACAAATGTTGCTGATAAAACTTTTATCGGGCGAAATTTTCCGCATCCTATGGAAGCTCTTGCCATGAAACCGAAACGCTCTTCCAAGCAATATCTTATCCTCATCTGGAAATTGTGTCAAATTGGTCAAATCCAAAACGGCTCTGTACAAATCGTGTTTGTGCCAGAATGAAATGCCCACTTACTCACCATTTTGTCCATATTTGTCTTTTGTCGAAACAATACAATATTCCAATTTCGAATCTGGTGCCTATTGGGAACCAGCCCTCCACTACCACTCCTATTTTCAGGGTTTTCGTTTTTCTCGGCTTGAAGGCCATATTATTTCAACATTTTTTGGACCCAGTTGGTTTCTTTAGGTCCTACTGTAGGTAAACAAAATATCTAGATAATCGTATGAAATAATCAACGGGCACCATTGATGGCCAAAACAAAATAATTGCTGATTAATTGTCATCGGAACCGAAATTGTTGCATCATTGATTTTGAACATGGCTTCTAGTCAAAATATCAGAGCCAGAACCGGAGGAGTTATTAATATAATTTCTCCTCGGTTTTTCTAGAAGCAGTAGGCGGATGAATCCGATGAGTCTATTTTTGGATCTGAATCTTGCTCTGTTGGTACATCCTCCATTAATGTCTAAACAGGACGGGACCTACATTTAATGTAGGTTTCTCAGAGCGCTTCCAAACCACGACCACAGTCATCAGTGACACCTTTCAGTGCATCCTTCCCACTGAAGTGTGTGCCTAGGTCCTTACGGAATATTAGTCTCCATCCGGCCTCTAACTGGCGTGAATGGGAGGAGGATGAAGATACATTTTGCACTCTTCCCTGGGCAACCGCATTTTTTTTCGTAACACCTTTGTGCTGGCAGTGTTATTGTGAGCATTTACCGCAGTTTTTTTATCAACTTTTCTAATATGGAACCTATAAAAATAGTCAAATTTCAACTGCCCAGAAAGAAACTGACCTTTAACCAGCGATTCGTGTACTGAAGTGATTTTATCTCTTTTTTAAAAATAAACTCTCAGAACATGTTTGTAAAGTATCTCAAGAATACATAGTAATAAAATGTATACATTCATTTAATCTCATATTATAAGAGAATCTCAAATTTGAATTGAAATTGTATTTATTAAATTTTTGTTCCATCCAAATAGCTAGGATATATTTGTATGCATACTTAATTGCTGTGATTACCCTTACAATGTTAAGAGGTTGTGTTAATGTAATGCATACATACTTGTAGCCTATTTTATAGATGACAATTCATTACTGAGCGGATGGAGTAAAGTATGTAATTGTTTTTAGCTATTTTATGAGTTTGGAAGTTTGTCGTACCTATGTATCTATTCTAGTCGAGTATAATTTTACTAAAGAATAATTTTAAGATTGAATTAATATGTATACGTTTTTCTTATTAGGCAGATTTATAAAATCTTTCATAAGCAGTATTATTTCTTTTTTACTTTAGCTGAAACAAAAGAAGTTACTTAACATTTAAAAAAAAAACCAGCATAATTTTAATTTGGGCTGTCCTTTTAATTTTTATAAAAAATCCGAAACTACTTCTTTATACAATTATTACTTGGTTGTATTTCTGCATAAATTAGTTTATATTCTTCATATTTTTTGCTAAGAAAGATTGAACAACATAGAATAAGACATTGCCCCTCTTAAGTGTCCCATGCCATTACCTAGAATCAATTGGCAACTCTTTATCAGCTGAGAGATGTGGATCTAGAATACACTCGAATTCCATTTTGAAAACGACTACTGAACCCATTTTGAGAAACCGAATCATCCAAAAACTGATACTTAATTTATTTGAAGATGCTGTCCCTATCAGATAATCAAGAATTGAATTAAGAATCTAAGACACAGCCACGACCATTTCTCTTATACAATTGGGTAATTAGAACATATTTGCTGGCTAAGCATGCTGATCAAACTATTTGAACTAAGTATAAGTAATAAATAATAATTAATTATTTTGAATTCGAATTTATGAATACGATCATAAATAGCGCCGTTTTCGAGTCCTCTTACACATCCACTTCCTGAAGTTGTTTATGTCAGATACATTTTAAAAAAAAATCTGATGAAGCAGATCACGATTTTATGAACCAAATACTCTTCGAAATTGTTGCCATATTTTCTATATCCTGGGTGGGACATTAAGATGGGACTATGAATCCTAATATATGAGATTTAGAGCCGATTTATTCACCCTCTGATAAACTCTCAGGTATGCAATCTGACGGATAAAAACGCAATCTGTAATCCTATTGGTCGGCCAGTTATCCGCCGACCAATAGAATTATAGAGTGCGAAATTGATCTTGCAGATAGTTATCAGCAAGTTTATCTGAAGATGAATAAACCGGGCCTTAAAATATTATATTTTAACCCCACTGAAAAGTAGTATTTTTGGTGCATTCACTTAAATTTATTAGGTCTTGAACAAATCTTTTAGTTTATTTTTGTTTTGTTCAATGTTGCTTTTTCTAATTTCATTCACCTTCTTCAGTTGACACTTGGTTACGTGAAGCAATAAGTTATGAGCGTACACTTATGATACTGGGGTCGTATTTTCGAATATTCTCGCATACGAAATTTGATACGATTTCGAATGCTTCCCATTTAATTTACATTGCTGTCAGTCAAATTTCGTGTACGAAAAATATGAATTCGAAAATACGACCCCTGGTTTCATACATGCTGTTCGAGTGATAACGTTATCTCTTTGACACTTGTAGTATATGTAGTAGAGTTTTTAATAAAATAATATTCACATAACCAAGCGTTTGTATATGCATATATTTTTCCAGCCCCAATTTATAAGCACCTTGAAGAAACTTTTTGTTCAAAGTTTTGTTCAGTTCGAAGTTAAAACTTAGATTCATTCAATTGTTATAAATTATATGCTTGAATCATTAATAAGTAAACATTTTATTAGGTTAATGCTTTTGCTGCTACAGTATTTTATTCTTGTGAAGTGAAAATTTGGGCATTTTTGAAAATACGCTTATGTTCTATGTTTTCTGGAGATCGAAATTGTAACTTTCTGGCTCAATTATTTGGTTGAACGTTAAAAAATATACTGCCAAACATTCCACTGCATTCTTATTTACAGTTTTTTTAAAGTTAGATGTAAATAAAAACTTTTACATTCTGATTATGATTATGATGCCGATAAAGTTGTTGTCTTTTTCAATTCCAAACTGATTACAGTTTAGTTAGTGAACCAAATCGATTTCTTGAAATGCCTATTGCAAACACTGTTGACTGTTTTCAATTGAAAATAGGGTACTTGCATGGAAAATTAAATTGATTATTGTTTATTGCAAACTGTCCAAATAGGATTATTCCGTAATTTATACAAATATTAGGTTTTGTATGCATATTTATACTGAGCATGTGCGACGTCATAAAGTATTATACCTTATGACGTCATAAGCAGATTTCAAAGCGTTGTATCTCCGTCAATTTTTGACTAACACGAAAAAGAAAAAACACGTGTTGACTTATTTTTCATTGTCTAACGAAATCAGCAATAAAAAAACTGATGCAAGGGCCCCATTAACGCAGATATTGAGAATTTTTTCATATTATACTGAGAGGCCAGCTAAAACAATTTAGGAACAAAGTCTTGCCAGTAAATTGGATTTTTCACATACAGACAAAAAATCAAACGATTGCTAGAGAGTAGAGAGACCGTTTTTATTCTACCTCCTGGGGGAATATTTCTGTTATCCTATCCAGCATGTAATATGAATGGAGTACAATTTTATGAGTAGTCTTTTCGACCGATTGCAAATAAATATATCTCAGACACTGACGGAATTGTCATTTGTGTTTAATGGAATGGACTCAAATTTTCACACTAAGCGTATTGTAATTATGCAGAAATATCATAGTAAAACTGCTCCTCAACAGAATTTTATTGGTTTGCGAGTTTTGAGAGCTTCAACAATTGATTTTTTTTGAGACTCAATCAATCAATTCACGAAAACATAATCATAAATGATTTCACTTACAATGGCTCATTCTAGATCATGCTGGAAGAGAACTGTATTTTTTTTTTGTGATTGCTCTGAATGTTTTATATAGACACTAAAATAAATCAACTCTTGTGTAGAAGCTTTCAAAAACTGAGTGATAGATAGCTCTTGATGCCAGAAAATCAATAAAATTCTCAATAATTACTTTACCGTTATATACGGCGACATATGTAGAAAAATGTACCCTATCTGTTTTAAGTTGGATGCTTTAATTTTATGTTACTGCCATATATTATTAGTGTAACTAGGTATAATGAAATTATACATAATTATTTTCAATAAGTATGTCCTTATTTATTTTTTTTTAAGGCACACTTCATATTCCATGTATGTATTTGTATTTTTGTTACTTCTAGTTCTTAACAAATATTTTTACTTCGAAATAATATAACTTTTTGGTTTGATTTTCTGTTTTTTTTTTTTATGTAACCTCCACAATTTTGAATGAGGAAAGTTTTCTACTAATATTGTTCATAATAATATTTATTTATATCTTCCTCGGTAGTAAGGGAAGTATTTTAAAAAACGTCCTCCTCAAAATTTTTTCACATTTATACGTTTTCAGGTCCCTAGATTATGAAAATCATGTTTTCTCAATTCGGTAGGTCTGTCTGTCTGTCTGTTGGCGCTCTAGCTTCATAACAGCTTAACCTAGAATAACAATTTTTGGTCTAAAGGTTGGACACCTACCGGCAATGCTAATGTAAGGGTTTTTGTTCGCAGATATACAGGGTGTACCAAAAACTATGCGTCACTAACAAGACCGGTGAATGATACGAAGTTATTAGCAAAAAGTTACTGTTCTTTAATTTTTTTTTAAATTTTGGTATAACTTTATTAAAAAACATTTTTGGTGATTTTATCATTTCTTTTTGGATAAATGGGCCGTATTTTAATCTCTGCTTCTATTGCTATATTTTCGTTCAGTTTCATTTATCGGTATTGATTTGGAATTTAGGAACGTTTTCTTCAAAAAAAAAAAAAAAAAATCAAAAGTGTACTTGATTTAAGAGCAAGGACTATGATTTTAAATGTATCCTTTGGGGGTGCTGCAATATTTGGAGTGTTTTAAAGGAAAGTCATATTTCCAGATCGGATAGAGAAAACTGATTTTCAAGAAACGTCGATCGTCAAAAACCTTATCGCGTATCTCCAGTAGTATACCTACCTACCATTGATACCGTGCGATTTCTGATTTTCAACTATTTCGCAAATAGCTATAATTTCTCAATTTTTGTATTTCTGTAGAAACATTGCAAAAACAGGCACAATCCAGTGGCGTGATAGTTTTTTTCTTTGGTTCATCATTTCGGAGAAAAATAATGAAGCTCTATTTTTGTATATGGAATCCATAGTTGTCCAAGACATCAAAAAAACCTCAATTTTTTGTGCCTTCCAATGATACATTGTTGTACCTATCTATTTTCAAATTTTACGGTGATACAGAGGTTTTTTTCATTTTTATTATATTATAGTTAGTAAGTAGGCTATGAGAAGCCTTAAAAAATGTTTAGCTGTTGAATTTCATTTTCTTATATTTTGTTATTTCTGGGTCTAGGTTTTTTAAAACTAACCGTGCCGATCTACCAAATTAAATTATTCTTCAGGTTTTTAAATATTTGACAGTCGGGCTGATGACGTTCTACTGGATGTTAAATAGAATTCGCTAGCGGCGTTGGCGTTGTATTTTCATTAGGCAAGATATAACACTTTAACGTGTCAAATTTTCCACCACAACACGCAAACTTAACTTTAGCAAAAGAAAATGTCAAAAAAGTATTATTGACAATTTTTTTTGTTAAATATGCTTTAGGTATAATCTATAGTAATGGAGGTCAATATAATAGGATAGGAATACAAATACACTGGAAAATATTTGAGAATATTATATTTGAAATATAATTAACAATAAATACTATTATCTAAAACATTTTACATCAAGTTCAATTTACGGGGGTGGGTACAATTACAGAGGGACATTAAAATAAACATATAAAGGACCTACTACAGTTTTCCATAGGCCGTGTAAGTCTGTCTAGAAACAATAAATATTCAACAAGTAATAGAATAAGAACACGGACGCCATTATAATAAGTATAAGAACGGTATAAGAGTTTATCGAACCATGTTTGGTCCCAGTCTTGAAATTATTTTCATTTTTAGTCATCCCGGTTATTTAAATTTTTTATTAAAAATCAAGAAAATAGTTCAAAACGAAAGCAAATTAAAACGATAATAGGATGGAAATGGTAGGTACAACAACGGTACAAGGTAGTAATAATAATTCTCCCTTGGATTTGCTCAAAAGAAATATATACTTATGTATAAGTAGGTACAAACTATTTACATTCCTACTTTTTCATTCTATGGTTACCTGTTTTTGTCATACTAAATATTGTGACTAGTGGAAAATTGACTTTATTTCAATAATATTTTTGATGTCATGGTGGACCAAATTTGAGGGGTAGGTATTAGGGTCCCATAAATCGAGATACAGGGTCGGTGAATTGTTTCAATGATTCGCAAGAATAGTGCTCAGGAAAATACTCCCTCGACGGGAACAGAAATTAAGTAAAATAGTTTTTGTCCTTTCCTTTGAGAAGTAATAACATATCACTTCATTTTTAATTCAGTGGTTCGACTTTGCTCCATCACCAACTAATTTTTTTTTATAGGGTCCATGATTTTGTATTTAATTTTGGGCGGCTATCGGTGCTCCTAAATCCAATGATATCACACTTCACTTATCACTAGTGTACCTAGGAACCTATCTACTTACTTTTCATAAGAATAATGCGTTAGACAAAGATAAACTTATGGCAAAACGATGATGACTTTATTTGAACATTGTTTTGTCAAGTTAATTTCAAGATTGGCATCGCCACTTTCTCCTTCCTCTACTAAATGGCCTATTAAATTTGAAATCCGACCCTTCGTTCTTCTATGATCTCCATATAACAGAGTTGGATTTCAAATTTATTGAAACCATATTGTAGGCAGAAAAAAGAGGCAACGATCAAGTTTTTTTTTTAAATATATCTTCAAATAAACCAAGAAACGATTTCACAAAATTTCGTGTTTTAGATTTTGGCCGTTTTTTAAGTTCTATTTGGAGTATTATGTATTTACAGTTGTGAAAATGGTCAGCAGATCTTCCGACTCAGATTTCTCCAGAACAGGAAAAAAAAAAAAATGCCATTTTCACTCCAATTTTTTTTAATTGCTATTATTTTTGTTATTTTTGATGTAGAATTAACACTTTTATTACCAATCTTCCTTGTCGAAAGATGGAATAATCATCTACAGGGTATTTCATAATAATGTGAAATTGGGTATCTCAAAAAAATGAAAAAAGTTTCTACAATGTAGGTATAGGTACCTACAAAGGACGCATTGAAAAATAACGATTTATTTTATTTTATTTCTTCCGGACTAAACGGAGATAATTTTACCAAATTTAGTCCATAATTACCTCCTTACTATTTGCCATATTCAATAAAGATACAAAGGATCGCAAACAACAAGAGGCGGAGTTAAAGGGTTTCAGTGTCTAATCTGGTGAAAAAATAGTACGGTCCTATACAAATATTCTCTCTGCTATCGACCAAAGTTACCCCCTGACAATTTTTTGAAACTGTCAATGTTTTTCGTCGATTATAACTTTTTTTCGAAATGTTTGTGTGCCAAAGTCAAGAGAAAAAGGATGCTGCCAAAAACTCTGATTGTTTTGATCAGATTGAGGCCAAGTATAACGGAACAGACAAATGCTGACGAAGACATTAGCAAAGAAGCCTTGGGAAAAAAACAAAACGCTAACAAGGAAATGAAAATTGTACTTTGGCTGGATAGAAAATGGACGACAGTTTCGGTTAAACAGTGCAGGGGTGCTGGCTTCAGATGACCGTAATCACACCGTTGTGTCCCAGACGATTTGCAGGAAGTGTTTCTTGTTGGTCCACCGCAAGTGCTGCCAGAGGCGAAGCGCCGCAGGCGCGAAATTTTTGGATGCCAGGCCGTTTTTTTGGGTCTTTTTACAGTATTTTTGGGACTGTTTATTCTAATTTTGAAGAATCATTTTTAAAATTTGAAGGTGTTGGAGGGGGGGGGGGGGCAAATGCCCCTCTGCCCCCCCTGGCTACGCCAGTGGTCCCAGATCATAATGGACAGAGTCTTACGTGAACTGCAAAGTAGTCGTAGTAGCGGCCACATCGAAGGCAATGGTAAGAGATCCCGAGGAGAAATGAAGCTGTACTTCTCAGCAGCGGCGGATTTAGGATTCCTTCTAGGGGGGGGCGATCCATCAGGGCCTCAGGCTCAGATAAGAAATAATAAAAAAACGACTTAAATATACAGAGTGGCAAAAAAGTCGCGTATAATACTTGTAACTTTCTACTTACCTCGTATAAGAAAAAGTGACCTTAATGAAAGGCTCAGTAAATTAGCTTAAAGCTTCCGTATTTTTTGCTCGGTATCCGTATCGGTATCGTACTGCGCATGTGCAGAAGCGATACGGAGGCCGAGATACCGTACGTACAACGTAACGTTACGGCCCTCTCGCGGTATCCGTATCGGTAACGTATCTTGACATTCCTGACGCATGTCAAATTTCAAATGAATATAACCTCCCTTTTCTTCCGGGTTGATTTAATTTGTTTAGTTTATACTTTCTTGAGTTTCTTGTGTGTTTAGTGCTTCTCTATCGCAAAAAAAATAACAGTTTTAAGGTTAGATATAAAAACGCCGAAGTTTTGAGACAAAAATGTCTAGGTTATGAAATGCGTTTACGTTTACCGGAACAGGGAGCGCTTTAACAGCCTTTTCGCTTGTCAACGTATCTAGTTGCGTTACGGATACCGATACCGATGAATTATTTCAAGTAGCTTTATGTCCCTAATATTTCCCACAATTCTACTTAAACGTATTGCCTGTGTCACTTCTGGTTTGTTTGCTATCTAGACCAACTTTCTTTTTTTCAAATAAAACACCCTGTATGTGATTGCATATTTGGATTCTACGTAAAATTCTGAGCAGATTTCATGTGATATACCCTATACCTAAGTTCAACTGTTTTGGAAATATTGACAGTTGAACATTGACTTTTTGCAACTTTGACAGGCTGTAAAACCTGAACGGTTAATTTCAGAGGAAAACCGATTTCACATTCCTATCTTAGATTTTCATAAACTATCATTTGACATCAACATTTAATTTAATCGGAGATTAAATTTAATTGGAATTTTCAATTATAGATTAAATTCAAAGTTGGTGCGGATTTACGTCATCCGCAGTCGATTCGCTCCCAGCTCGCTGCTGCCAAACGTATTTAAAAGTATTAAAAATTTGGAAAAATAGCAAAAACCATATGGAATTTCATGTTGGATAATGCTTGATGAATATGTTTGTGTTTTCGTTAAAAATTTCGCTCAATAGGGGGGGGCGCGCGCCCCCCGCGCCCCCCCTCTAAATCCGCCACTGCTTCTCAGCCGC